TTTTATTGTCAAGATAGCATTTAAGAGGTCAAATTTCATCCTGTTTCTTAGGTTAGATTTGATAAATTCAGTCCCAGTGAAAAACATCTACTATCTAAACATCAAAAACGCCATCTAATTGGAAGGGAAACCATCTAAATCTGGATGTAAAACATTCAAAGTGGCAACACTGCAGAGTACTGGTAAAGGAGTTCATAAGGCATCAAAGAATCAAAGGGTTTCGTCAGCTGGTCAGGATGGAACGAAATCAGCCAGCATCTAGAGCAGCCGTTCTCAACCTGTGTATTGAGACCCTTTTGCTAGTCAAACGACCCTTTCACAACGGTCGCCTAAGACCATTAGAAAACACATATTCGATGAAGCTATGAAGTAGCAGCGAAAATAACTATATGGTTAAGAGTCACCACAACATGAGGAACTGTTTTAAAGGGTCACGGCATTAGGACGGTTGAGAGCCACTTATATGGAGCATACTGCACGAGAACAGCAAGCTACATGGCAAGAGGCCGTGAAAGCAAGAAATTTGTGGAACGAGTAAAAGAGATACTACAAAACCGCAGTGTGACATTAACACAAGCTATGCCACAAGCTAAAGACGGGAAACAACATCGTCTCCTCTCTGTGCAGATTTTTTTTTTTTTTTTAACAGCAGTAGCATAGAAGTAAAAGAAGAAGAAGAAGAAGAAGAAGAAGAAGAAGAAGAAGAAGAAGAAGAAGAAGAAAAGAAGAAGAAGAAGAGAAGAAGAAGAAAGAAGAAGAAGAAGAAGAAGAAGAAGAAGAAGAAAGAAAAAGAAGAAGAAAAAGAAAAAAGAAGAAGAAGAAAAGAAGAAGAAGAAGAAGAAGAAGAAGAAGAAGAAGAAGAAGAAGAAGAAGAAGAAGAAGAAGAAGAAGAAGAAGAAGAAGAAGAAGAAGAAGAGGAAGAAGAAGAAGAAGAAGAAGAAGAAGAAGAAGAAGAAGAAGAAGAAGAAGAAGAAGAAGAAGAAGAAGAAGAAGAAGAAGAAGAAGAAGAAGAAGAAGAAGAAAAAGAAGAAGAAATGTTAACTGGTTTATCGTACTGCACTTTGTTGCATACTTTAATCTGCTGCAGTTTATGTTCCCTCTTCAAATATCAGCCAGCTGATTTGATCCCATCAACTCTAAGATGTTTTGAATTTGTCCTGCATAACTTGTTAATACCCATAGATTCAGACGTGTCAAGTGCGCGATCGGCTAATCCTTTGGAAATATTAACTACAGTTTTTAAATATAATATTTTTTTTTATTATAAACAATATACACGATTAAATATTTGTATGTCTGTAAATCCTTTCAAAACATATCGCTCTGAATATTCAGCTTAGAAAGTTAATTAATAATATAAATTAACATTTTTGCGAAGTCAATTTAATAACTCACGCACTTGAGCCATTTCCAAAAGTTGAAAGTTCACAACAATGTAAGGTTAGTGACCAGGTCATACAGTAAACAAAAAAATATCCAGACGTCAGTTCCTATATTTCCCCATCAGGCATACCATTGTGAGAATATACCCACGCCCATATAATAAGAATGTCGAAGGAGGAAACTAATTATGTGTGTTTCCTTCGAAGCCAGAGTGCTTCTGCAAGCAAAGCGAGAAACCAGCAGTCTGCATACAAATAAGAAAGATCTGTAAAATGACTGTGCATGCAAACCTTAAGTTTTGGAGCAAGACTACATGCCAAAAGTAAACGAACAACAAGACGTTTTCACGGAGTTTACAGCCCATGGACGCTAAGAAAAAGATGTCGAATTATGGTATCTATTTAATCTATCTATCTATCTATCTATCTATCTATCTATCTATCTATCTATCTATCTATCTATCTATCTATCTATCTATCTATCTATCTATCTATCTATCTATCTATCTATCTATCTATCTATCTATCTATCTATCTATCTATCTATCTATCTATCTATCTATCTATCTATCTATCTATCTATCTATCTATCTATCTATCTATCTATCTATCTATCTATCTATCTATCTATCTATCTATCTAACATTACATTACATTAACACCACTAGAGAACTCGCAAGCGGGCTTCGGGATTGACATGGCTGTGTGTTAGTATCTGACATCTGGAGATCTGTAAGGTCAAAGTCATTTCAGCCGGGGTGCAAAGGTCGTGTGATGTTTGATTGTGACATGGTAGTATGGTGACTATTCATTGTGTCTGTCTGTCTGTCTGTCTGTCTGTCTGTCCAAATCTCAATGTCCTTAAGAGGACCTATACAGTCTATGTGATGCCAACACTAGAATATGGAATAGCTGCTTGGGGCACAGCAGCTAAATCAAATTTTCAAAAAGTCTCAAAGATCCAAAACCATGCTCTCCGTATTATGACAGGGGCAATGCGCTCCACGCCCATATCAGATATGGAAACAATAACTGGTCTCCATAATCTGGAAGATAGGAGAGACACAAAGATCCTCACCCAGCTCTCCAAATACCACCACTTTCAAGAACAACCCATGTACAGCCGACTACAGAAACCCCAGAAGGCTAGACTAAAGAGAACTTGCTTTATTAAGAACGCAAATGCCAAGCTCGCTGTCCTTAAACTCCCTCCCATAATAACAAATGTTCCACTTAAACCTTACAACGACTGCCCCGCTTGGCTTAGGGATAGCCTACCAACAGTCAGAACCACTGTAACAGGGGTCTCCTCCAAGTCATCAATGAGCAGCACTGATATGAAATCAACTACAGAAGGAGAGATCAATAGACTTTACCCACACCAGAGTTGGATTCGAGTGTATACAGATGGTTCAGCCAAGAGAGCAGTAAGAGACGGAGGAGGAGGAATATACATAGAATGCCCAAATGGTTTAAAAATCAACCAGGCTGTACCAACAGGTTCATATTCCTCCAATTACAGAGCAGAGGCAGAAGCACTTCTAGCAGCATGTTCTTTCCTGAATGGACAACAGCACAGCAAATATAGCAGAGTGGTCTTTCTGACTGATGCTATGTCAGTTCTACAAGCAATTGTTAACCCAAAAGACACTCAGTTTGTAGACTTGACGCAACAGCTGATTTACTTAGGCTCTTCAGTAGAACAATCTGTACTGCAGTGGATTCCAGGTCACTGTGGCTTGGAAGGCAATGAAATAGAGGACAGATTAGCCAGAAGCGGCAGTGACATGGTACAACCAAATAGCGACTTAACGCACCAAGAGATGAAAACACTAATACAATCTAGTATCCAAGAAAGGTGGCTGGATACCCACACCAGATTTTCTCCCCAAGACTCACTTCATCGCCTCTCTAGAGAGGGACAGTCTATTTATATTCAGACTAAGGACAGGGCACAACAGATTTCGTCAACATATGTTCAAATTTTTTTCTTTCGGTGTAGGAAATACGGAGACGTGTCCCTGCAGCGTGGCACCCGAAAATGCTGAGCATGTGCTCCAACACTGTCAACTGTATGCTGACAACAGAGACGCAATCTGGCCTGTTCCAACCACAATAAAGACAAAACTGTATGGTACACAAGAGGATATGGATTGCACGATAGCTTTCATAAAGGCTACCGGCCTCCTGATATAAGTTTTCTGACAGAATGATCGAAGAAGAAGAAGAAGAAGAAGAAGAAGAAGAAGAAGAAGAAGAAGAAGAAGAAGAAGAAGAAGAAGAAGAAGAAGAAGAAGAAGAAGAAGAAGAAGAAGAAGAAGAAGAAGAAGAAGAAGAAGAAGAAGAAGAAGAAGAAAAAGAAGAAGAAGAAGAAGAAAAGAGAAGAAGAAGAAAAAAGAAGAAGAAGAAAAAGAAGAAGAAGAAGAAGAAGAAAGAAGAAGAAGAAGAAGAAGAAGAAGAAGAAGAAGAAGAAGAAGAAGAAGAAGAAGAAGAAGAAGAAGAAGAAGAAGAAGAAAAAGAAGAAGAAATGTTAACTGGTTTATCGTACTGCACTTTGTTGCATACTTTAATCTGCTGCAGTTTATGCAGTTTATCCATCTATCTATCTATCTATCTATCTATCTATCTATCTATCTATCTATCTATCTATCTATCTATCTATCTATCTATCTATCTATCTATCTATCTATCTATCTATCTATCTATCTATCTATCTATCTATCTATCTATCTATCTATCTATCTATCTATCTATCTATCTATCTATCTATCTATCTATCTATCTATCTATCTATCTATCTATCTATCTATCTATCTATCTATCTATCTATCTATCTATCTATCTATCTATCTATCTATCTATCTATCTATCTATCTATCTATCTATCTATCTATCTATCTATCTATCTATCTATCTATCTATCTATCTATCTATCTATCTATCTATCTATCTATCTATCTATCTATCTATCTATCTATCTATCTATCTATCCGTGCACCTACCCACCTATGTCTATGTGCGTCTCTCTATCTCTACTTCATTTATTTTCTGTTTCTACCTTCATAATTATTTTTTCACATGGCTCTTTCTTTTTTCACCCCCACCCCCTCCCCATTATTTTTCTCCCTTAACTTCTCTCACTTTTCCCCACTGTTCTTTATACCCCGACTTTCCTCTTCAGATCAAGACGAAAACAGTTCAGTAAAACGCCATGCAACGCTGGCAGACCGTTGCAGCACCAGCTAAAATATTATGAGGGATATGTTCTTTTATCTTTAAGCACCTCTCGAGACCTCTCATTCCCAAAGCTGTAAAACACGTGTTGTCCTGAATTGCAAAATGCCTTCAGCTAAGAATCTCACAAAAATATACGGCAATGATGTTCATATGTCACGGTTTATCACTAAGCAAATTTCTGTTCTGATTTCCTTGTGTAATTTGCATTTAGCATTCCTAACATATGTTCGTCTTTACAGAGATGTCAGTGTGGAAATTGTGTTGTGGTGTGCTGACAACCTTTTATTGTTTTTCTCGTACTTGTTCTTGTTCTTATTCTTGTTTCTCCTCTTCTTCTTCTTCGTTGAGAATGCAATGCCTTAACATGAGTGGTAGGAACAGCCCTGTGCACATACTGCACGACTGGTTGATGTCAAACGCAGAAGAAGAAGACGAAGTGGTAGTGGTAGCAGAAGAAGAAGAAGAAGAAGAAGAAGAAGAAGAAGAAGAAGAAGAAGAAGAAGAAGAAGAAGTGATAAAAACAACACAAAAACAGTAATAATTCTAGGCAGTATACACAAGCTGTCTGCATTTTTAAGATCCCTGTGTTGTCTAGGGATCGTAAAAATGCAGACAGCTTGTGTATACTATCTACTTTATTGACAGTAGAGAGTCAGGTCTACACAACCATAGAAAATTCATTCCCCCCCCCCCCCTCCCTTCCCCGCCGCACCAATCACCTGTCAAAATTATTATGTTGTCATCAAAAAGAATTAACTATAATTTTCTTCGCAAAGAAGAAGAATCTTAACTAAATTGATTTTGAAAGGCTAATGATAATTTGAATCAGCTTTTTTTTTTTTTTAAATTACTGTAATGTGCTTTTTCGCGGATTATCGTTTAATAACAGTTTTCCCCGTGTAGGTTCCGGGGCCCCGTTGCGGGGAAAACAAGAATAGACCCACTGCCTCCCCAAAAGCATGTCGTAAGAGTCGACTAATTGGGGAGCTTCCTTTAAAGTCGGAGAGCATCTGCCGGAGAGGCAAGGAACCAACAGTCTGTATTCAAGACAATGAGATCTGTAAAACTGATGCACACGCAACTTTCCGCCAGAGTGTACAGCTGGTGAACGCAAAGAAGAAGAAGAAGAAGAATAACAGTTTAATTTCAGTGTTCAGTTGTAGAGCTCCTCGGTGTTTGCTTGATGTTTACGCCTTTGATGCAGCCAGCCTTCCCTGTGAATATGGCAGGCTGCCACAAGGAAATATTATTATATTTATTTGTCATCTGACACATTATTATTATTATCATCCTCAACATCGTTAACATCATTATGAAAGGCTAATAAATGTAATAATAATTGAATTAATAGCTGCTGCTTCTCTGCTAGATATTGTGAGGGCCCTCTGAGAGCGAGTGAACAGTGCCGAGGTCCAGTTAGATCATTACGGTCTGAGGAGAATGGCGCTGCTAAGAGTTACAAGGAAATCTGGCCGGAGCTCAACACTCAGGGAAATGGCGAGACGAATATACAATCAGACAGTTACTGGTGCCATCGGAATTGGAACTCTTCACTTGCTGCTGAAAATGGGGACCGAGCACTTATGTGAGTGTCCCAGAGTGCTGTGATGTCGATTGTTAATTTAACATCCAACATTCCGTGTTCGGTTTCGTATGCTCAGGTCAGATCGTCACATGGGCTGCATCCGTGAATTCGAATGCCCGCCCCCTCCCCCCCCCCTCCCCACCCTTCCATAGCCACACTTTGCTCTTGAGGATAATTTTCTATTTATAGTTGTAAGTATAGTGCTCAGGTGAAATAATATGAAATGTATAGACACCAGTTTTTAAAGATAATTTCTTTAAATAGCTAAAGTAAGTCTTTTAGTTCCCTTTAAAATTTATGCTGGGGGGAGGGGGGGAGGGGGTAGCCCACTCAAGGACGCTGAGATCCTAGTTTCCGGTACCTAAATTTTGTCGACGTCACCAGGTTGATTCCTCCAAAACCGACTTACGTGCCATGCTGCTGACGTCACTGTATCGTTAGCCCTGTCAGGTGACGTCAGCATCATGGGCCATCAGCTTGATTTATCTCTGATGTGACAGAACTAAGAGAACGAGAAAAGCAGGGGCACCGACACGAACAAATCACTGGGAGCCCTCTCAGGTCCCTTATTATCTTCTAGGGGTGAAAGGCACTCAGTAGGGTGGGGCCGTTTAAGCCTTGTCTAAGTGTATAATAATAACAAGGGCGCTCAGTACCATTAAATAAAACTTTCCTTGTGGCGGGAAGTGTCATTAAGGTGTGTGAGTTCCTAGATTTCGACGCCCCTGGCGAGAAAGAACACGGGACAATAACGAGTTACTTTATTTTTTATTTACGGCAAACAAAGAAGTTTATGGAAGAGTCCAATATTCTAGAGTACTATTGGTGGAAGTAATGGTTACGGTTTGGATCTTTGTCAGACCCTACCGCCTCAGAGACACCGACTACCCTAACCTTAACTCCAACCCTATCCCTAACTCTAGCCATAACAGCCCTAGAATATTGGACTGTCTCTGGAACTCCTGGATTTCCCTTTGTTTGGGGTGAATAACAAAACAACTACCAAGAACTGGAGATAGAGAAGAGAATTCTTTTTTTTTTTTATTACAAAAATGGAGCTTAACGATACTCCAACAGACGAAGAAAAGTTTGATGAGAAAATCAGCGTTGATAAATATAGTTTGGCCCTGTGATGTCACGTGCACACGTGAACAATCAATACAACCGCCTCTTGGTCACCGGAAAGTGCGCGGTAAAGTTTTCCACGCGAAACCTGAATTCTTGCGCAAGAAACGATTTTTTTTTTTTTTTAACTGAGGGTCGAAAACACATGGATGACAGAAGGGAAGAAGAAAATTGCGTTAGATAGAGTCAAGTTAGGACAAACCAACATGGGAGAGCGTCAAACGCGCGAAAATCAAACATTACATTAACACCACTAGAGAACTCGCAAGCGGGCTTCGGGATTGACATGGCTGTGTGTTAGTATCTGACATCTGGAGATCTGTAAGGTCCAAAGTCAATTTCAGCCGGGGTGCAAAGGTCGTTGTGTTT